TCATACTCCAAAGAAAGAGTCAAATTTGTAGAAAATGAGAGCTACTCTAACTGTTATTTTGAGAAGATGGTTAAAATTCATTTTTGAACTTTTAACTCATTTTGTATCATATTATCTCTTATATATTTTTTATGTTTTTTTATTATAAAAAGCTAAAATTAGCTTTTAATCATATTTCTAAAACAACCCTAAGGCACTCTGACCTTACACAATGAATCATATTTTTATCGTCGTGAGGATAGTGGTTAAAAGGTCGTCCTGAAAAGTCAAAATAAGATTTTTAGTGACAAAATTTTAAAAATATCACTAATAAATACACTTTCAAGGACAAATAAATTTGGTCCCAATAAAATAAAAATTTATCACTAATATCCAATTTTCGTTACTAAAAATATAATAATGACACTTTTTGTGATAAAAATATTTAGTCTTTAAAAAATAATTTTATTCCTAATTTTAGTCTCTGAACATTATTATTATTTTTTTGGTTGGTAGTGATCCTAAAGGCCACGAATCTTCTTCCTTGATCATACATTGCCTTGTCTTGGGCTCCATAAAAAAAACACCAACGAAGAGTCAAATTTGTAGAAAACGTGAGCAACTCGAATTGCTATTTTGGAAAGGTAGTTAAAAGCTATAGTTTACATGTTTTTTTTTTTTTTAAAAAAAAGGACTAAAGAATCAATTTTTAATTATCTTTGTTAGGTTTTATTATTGACAATTCCGTCTCTTTGTAATAATTAGCTTAGCTTAGTGTAGCTTAGCTTATTTATTCAGACCCTCCTTTGAGAAATCCAAAGTTGTGGGAAAAATTTTGAGATCCTTGCCCGATCGGTTCCAACCAAAAGTTACGGCTATTGAGGAGGCTCAAGATGTTGACAACCTCAAGCTGGATCAGTTGGTTGGAAATCTCCAAACTTATGAGGCACATAGGAATTTCAAAAAGAAACAAAAAGATATTACTTTTAGTAGTGCTCATAGAGTTGGAGAGGATTTTGATGAGGATTGTAAGATAGATTCCAATATTACGGATGCTTTTGTAAAACAATTTAATCTTTTTTGAAAAAGAATCCTAATCTTTTAGAATCTACTCATACTCATAAATTTAAAGGCAAAGATAAACTCAAAATTAATTCTATAGCCAAGAAGGAGAAAGGAAAGATACAAGGGAACTCTGAAAGACTCCAATGCTATGAATGCCAAGGATTTGGCCACTTTGCTCAAGAATGCCCGCCCCACTCGGTTAAGGAAGAAAAAAGCCCTCGCCATCACTTGGGATGATGAATTAGAATCTGATAAAGATGAAAGTGACAACAAAGATCAAGGCGAAGAGGGACATAAACAATTCCTTGCTTTCATGGCGGCTTCCGAAACTGAAGGACGAACAGAGTACCCGAAGAGGTCAGTTGAGAATATCACTGATGATGAATCCTCGGAGAGTGATCATGAAGAGCTTGAGCAAGCTTATGAAAAGTTGTATAAGAAGTCTCTTAACTTATTCAAATTAAATGACAAACTCACAAAGAAACTCAAAGCATGTGAAAGTGAGAATGTCAAACTTAAGGAGGAGATTTCCGAGGCTAGGATTGATGCCATCAAGATAGCTAATGATCGACAAGATCTTTGTGCAAAACTCTTGACTTGTGAGACAGAGAGGAACGAGCTACAACAGATCTATGTTTTTCACATAATGCATCACTTTCTTTCATGAGGAATCTTTTACAGACTGCGCACATTGTGTTTTCTTGTAATGGTGCTTCTTGGATAGTCTTGTGTGTTTTAAGGTACTAATCTAAAATTTCTAAATTGCTCCACCATATTATTTTTGTCGTTTTCTTCTTGTTCATTGTTTTTAGTGTTTGTGGTTGCTTTTAGTGAGGGGGAGTTTGGTTCATCTTGACTTGGGTTGGTTTATGATCTTGCTTTTGTTGTTAGTTTATGATCTTGCTTTTGTTGTTGGTTTATGATCTTGCTTTTGTTGTTTGAGAGTTGTTTTTCATGAGTCTTAGTTTTCATTTATTCATGTTTTCCATCTCATGTTTCAAGATAATCTTGTCCTATGTTTATTGTTTTTTCTTATACTTTTGTGGGACTAATAGTTGTTTTGGAGATTGTGGCACTAATAGCTGTTTTGCAGATCATGACCTTGAGAAAGAAGTTGGTTTTTGTTGGCTGTAATGGGTTAGAGTGCTTAGGATTTTATTTGCTAGATGTGTTTTGTCACGGCGTTGCCAAAGGGGGAGATTGTTAGGTTTTATTATTGGTAATCCCGTTTAACAAGGATTTCTTTAAGAAGTTGATTTTCTTCCAAAACTATGATTACTTTTGGATTTCTATAAATAATTGGATTTCTTCCAAAACTATGATTACTTTTGAATTTTCTATAAATAGTTGGTTTTCTCCCAAAACTATTGAATTCCTCTAGATCTTCTTTTTGGTTCTTAAGGTTTATATCTGCGGATATTTTGCTAGTTTTCTTTGATATTTTATTGAGTATTCAACTCATGGTTTAAAGAGAGTACATCAAAGGTTTTGTTTGTTATACACAAGAGAGAGAGAGAGAGAAAGTTGTTCTTCGGTGGATTCTGAAGAATTCGAGCCTGAAGCTTCGGCGGATTCTAGAATGGCTCATCGTAAAGACAATTCCGAGGTGAAGACGGGGTTGGAAGAGGCACATAAAGGTTGGTTCAATTAGGCGTGGATTCGCTAGGTAATCGAGAGTATACCTGTGTAATTCCTTTAAATCTTCTTAGTAGATTGTTTTGTGGCTGTTGCCCGTGGTTTTTTAATCATAGTTGGAGGTGTCCAATTGTGGTTTTTCCACGTTAAAATCGTTATGTTGATTTGTCTTGATTGTTTGATTGGGATTGTTATATACTGTTTAAAATTGTTACATAATCACAAATCAATATCTAGAGGATTTCTAAATTTTTCAATCTTCTCAAAACAACCGTAAGGCACTCTAACCCTACCCAATGAATTTACTACATGATATGAAATGCAACTAATCCATTAGAATGCACCAGCTGAGTTGATGTTCATCTTTATATTTTGTACTTGGATTATCATCAATAAAATTTCTTATTTTTTGATTAAAAAAAGAAGAAGAAAACAATGCTCTATTTCACTCTCTGTCTCTTTCCGAGATATACATAGGTAAGAGCATCCTCAGCAAACCCCCTAAATCATTTCCTTACCTATTTTAGGGGGTTGGAGCTCCCTTATACCACCACATCAGTTCCTTTATAAGCCACTCTAAACTAATATTTATTACAGTGACTTCCTATTTGTAGAAAGTCACTGTAACTCCCTCATAACTGATAGTGGTCATCCACTCAGATATCCTAAATGAGTGATTTGGGAAAAACTTGCTTCGTCAGTCGTTCATTGGGACGTCTTTTCGGCCGACCTCCCAGACGTCCGACCGGTTGACCGACTAGTTGACTGCCCCCTTAGTCACTGCTTTACTCTATCCATTCTCAAACCTTGAATGTCTTCTGCAAAAGTGCTTTTGTATACATACAAAGGTGAAGTGCTTAAATCTCCATAAACAACGCCCAAGCTTTGATAAGCCAGATAATTGAAGCTTATATATAATATGTATTATATATATATACACACAAGAAGGGATAGAGAGATAGAGAGAGAGAACCTGGGTATATATATATGTATATATATATATAAAATTGTCAAAGACTTGATAATTCTATCCAGAGTGAGTGTGAAGAAAAGAACAATTAATATCATTGTGATAATCGTTCCATCCATTAGCTCGCGCTTGTTTGGTAAGTTCCATAAAGGTTTGTTTGTTTTTTTTTCATTATAGGGCTATCTCAAAAGAAAAGTGGAAATGGAAAGCCCATTTTTGCATTAATTTAGAGAGAAAATGAAGAGGACCTAGATGGGTGAACACCATCCCCAATTCAAAAAATTCAAAAAGAAGATGAAAAGTGAAAGAATAGGAAAGGAATATTTTAATAATATTTCAGAGAAAGAATAGGAAGTTTCTTGGAAGAAGTAAATGAAAAAATGATTCCTAAAATAGGAAATAGATTTTTTAATAATATTTTAAAGTAAAATTTAAGTAAACTAATAAGAATGCTCAAGTGAAAACTATCATGGTTTATTTACTTCAAAACAATGATGCATGACTTACAATCATGGTTTTGAAAACCGAACCGGACTGGCTGGTTCGACAGGTTGAACCATTGATAGGTCGGGGTTTTGGTCCAGATATATTCTTTAAACCATTTAAATCCAAAAATCAGCCTATTTAGAGTGAATCAGGAAAATCAACGGTTGAACTTCCAAATCGATCGACTTGGGAACGGTTGGCTAGGTGGATGAAATTGAAAATTTTGAACCCTTTTTGTTGATATTTTCTAACGTTTTTGTTATTCTTTATTTCTTTTCTTTCTTTCTTTTTTGTTTATATATATATATATAGATAATATAAAATTTTAATTGAAAATTCTCTTTCAAAGGTTTCCTCTTATGAGAAATCTCATTAAGAGTTTGAAATTATGAAAGTTTCTACCTATTTATAAGGAAAAAATTCTTCCAAAAAAACTTAAGAAATTTATGTGAGATTTAATTAAATTTATTGGAGGGAGACTTGAAATTTTGATATCCCTCCAAAATTTTTGCTCTTCTTTCAATCAAACTATTTGAATTAAAACCATATAGAGGGAATATTGAATATTTGATTTCCTCTTCTAAAATTAAAATTAATAATATTTTAAAATATATTATTATATTTTTGGTAAAAAAAATGTTAGGAGAAATATTTTAGAAAATTTAATATTTTTAATTTATAATTTTATTACTTATATTTTTATTTAAATATAATTTTAATATATTTATTACGTCACGATTCGATTTTAATTCAATCAGACAGTTGAATCGATGACCTATCCACCCGATCTCATTTCTAATTTACTTACCGGTCCGATTTTTAAAACATCGTTTACAATCATATTATTTTAATATTAAAATACACTAACACCCAACACTTACGTTACTCATATATTGACAACCGACTTCATCCCCATCTCCATCTTCCTCTTCCTTCTTGGTCTTCATCTTGGTCTTCCTGTTTTAACACAGACGATTGAAGGAAGAGAAAAGGTTAAAGATGGAGGAGCATCACAGCATAAGTATGCTTGAGATAGCTCGAATCTATTATGAGACGAGCACTCCGTCAACGAACCTCAAGCAACTGGCACGAGACTTTTTCAATTCAATCGATTACGACAAAGACGGAGAAGTGAGTCTGTGTGAATTCTTGAACTACATGAAGGAGAAAGGGCTCATAAACATGGGAAATCGATACGTTTTCAACGCGCTCGACGTGAACGGTAATGGAAGTCTGGATTTCATGGAGGTGATGGCTCTGTACTACATCATTAAGAGTGGAAGACCTTTCTGTGGAGGATGTGGTAACTTCATACCAGGGATGTTCTTCAGTTGTTCGATATGTTTCGACAATGAAGACGACACCTTCAGCGTTTGCCCCATGTGTTTTAGCAATGGAAATAAAAGTTACATCCATCAGCACAAGCCTATCCATTTCTTGGATAACTTTGCTTTGCTTGAAGCTAAGAGAAAGGTGGCTATGGCCACTAGAAAGGCACCTCCCCCAAAAGATCATAAGGTAACCCCCCTTCTTCCTCTCAAGTAAATTACACTGTTGTCCCTGAGAGAATTTCATTTTAGTTCTCGTATTTTCAATTTGAACAATTTAAATCTCATATTTTCATTTTTGATAGAATTTTGAACGGGAAATATCACATGTAAAATTACACGGACCAAAGTGAAACTCAAAAGCAATTATACCGATAATTCGAATTAATTTTTTTTTAATTCCACTTTGGTCTATAAAATTTTGCAGTGTTGTTATAACATCTAAAATGTTAACACAACATGACAAAGGGCAAATTTACAACAAAATAGAGAGTATAACGTTCAAATTAAAATTATAGGGACTGAATTTACACTTTACTTAAATTACATGGACTAATAGTGTAATTTATCACTTATTTTTTATTATTTTTTATTTTTTATTTTTTTTTCCAATTTATATCTTGGGTAAATTACACTAACCTCCCATGAGGTTTGGGGAAAATATTTTACAATTTTGATATAATTACATCAACTTCCCTCCAGGTTTTAATTCGCATAATTCTTAGCCCCCTTTTCATGACTAATTGGCTATTCATTTTGATGTAAAAGTAGTATTGTTACCACTTTTATATTGAAATATATATTTTTCCTTGATTATTTTTGTATTTTCATAACATGTAGATTATTTTCAATCAGTTTAACCCTACTCAAAAGCAAGTCGAGTAATTATGTGAAAATTTTAAGACTAGTTCTTTTTTTTTTTTTTCAAATTTCATGAAAGGTTAGAGTAAATCTATCATTATATTAAAAAAAATGTCTATTTGAATATCATAGAATTTGTTTCCCTGTGTTTTGTGTTTTTTGTTTAGTTTACGTTTGGTTTTACTTTACAAAATTAATTTTGTTTGACTTGATTTTCAGAATTTGTTTTTAGAATTTTTTTTTAAAAAAATTAAAAGTTAAATTGTTGAAAAAAATGAAAAAAAATATTTGTTATTTTTATATAATCTTATCCTTTGGGAAGCTAGAAATAATTCTTAAAACTTTAAAAATATTGTTTTAATATTTATTTTCATCAGACTAATTTCTATTTTTTCAAAAAAAAAAAAATCTGAAAATGTTTTAGAAATGCAAACCAAACATGGCCTTTTTATGATTTTTTTTTTTGGTTTTCAAAAACGAATTAAAACTAATTTTGTAAAAAAAAACTAATAAATTTCATATGATTTTCTCTTTTTGAGGTCAAATTGTCTTGTTAATACATATTTTGAATTTAAAAAAAAAAAAAACTAAATACTAGATTGAAAAACTTTTCATACGATTTTCTCTTTTTTGTGCCAACTTAAATATAATGAGATTTTGCAATTTACAATTTCTTTTATGGGGTTTTTGAAACACCGCTATATGACATTTTTCCTGGAGTGCTTGTTGATGCATTTGTTTTATACTATTTGCATTACATCAATAAATTTTACTTTGCTAATAAAAAATAATAATTAAAAAAAAAACGTTTTGGTAAAATGAAGGTTTTCCTCTGTAGGTCGTCTATTCGTCTTCAGTTTGTTTTTGTTTTCGTATTATATGGATTTGATATCCCCAACTTCAAGTGCATCCTTTTGCTTAAAAAATAAAAAAATAAAGAGTAAATTACAAATATATTTCTTAAGATTTAAAAATTACAATTACAAATATCCATTTGCAGAAATTTTGATTTAATAAAATTAATAGAAAAAATAAAATTTGTAACTATTCGTTTATACAATAATAAAATTACTGAAATTATTAATTAAAATATATTTATGATATAATTAAAAACTGTTAATTGACATCAGGGTTTATTAATAAAATGGGTAATTTGTTATGCGATTAGAAATTTGAAGGGGTGTGATTAAATTTTTAGAACAATAAGAAGCAATTTATATTTTAAGAAAATCTCAATAGATGTATTTGTAATTTACCCATAAATAAATAAATAAATAAAATTATATTTCATATATGCCATATGCCCCCAAAAATTTTCTTTCTTGGCTTTATATAATTTTAGCTTTGCTACCCAAGGGATTGGCTTGGTAATCAACACTTGGAATTTAGGAGTGTACTCTCTTCAAGGTTTCAGATTCGAAACCTCTTAAGTGCAAACAATTTGAGACCGGTCCATATAGAACTTTTGCTCTGACTTTAATTAGGATTCCCGCAAGTGGACGGTGTGGATGGTTAGATTAGTCTCTTAGATTTAGTCAATTCAATAAGCCAAATACCGAGTTATCAAACAATAATAATAATAATTTTAGCTTTGCTGTCATGAAGTTGGGATTTAATTTCCCTTTCATTCTTTTTCTTTTGTTAAGTTGTTTGCGTCTTTGTCTCTACCTTTGTACTCTCTGTCTCGCGATCGAATCTTCTAGAGTGTTTCCGTGAAGTGATTTGGTGGAGTGGTTTCACTGTGGCGTGACACCTGTTCCATTTTTTCTTAAAAAAAAAAAAAGAAAAAAAAATATTTCTTCATTTTCAGAAAATGACTCTGTGTGTGTGTGTGTCACAGAGAGAGAGAGAGAGAGAGAGAGAGAGAGAGAGAGAAGGAAAAGGAAAAGAAAAGAGAGGAGGTTGAGCAAGAAACTCACCGACGAAGGAGTTCGCAGCCTTGCTGTTCCACCGCCGATGAACCCACCGAACGCTCTCTCAATATCGGAATGAAAAACTACCTTGATAGTTTAAAAAAATAGGGTTTTCGAAGAATATGAGATGAGTCACCAAATCAAAGAAGGCAAAAAAGATTTATACTGCAATTAGTTGAAACTTGCTGATATAGTATATGTTTTAAAATATATTGTAAAGTTGTGATAGAACATAATTTGTGTGATAGAGCATAATCAGTGGGTTATTGTGTCCTTATTTTCTATTTCCTATTTTAGCTTGTAATTCATGTATAAATAGGCTTCCTGCTTATGAGATAAATACAAAGAGAAAATCTTCTTTTCCTTCCCAACTCTCTTGGCATGGTATCAAAGTAGAAAATTTGGGACTAAATTTTGCTTCACAGCCTCATGTCCATAGCTTCATTCTATTTTTCTTCCTTTGGGACTTTCCACTATTATGAGTGACACTATAGTCAACAAAGATACCTTCCAAGACTCTCTCTTGTTTGAATCCATGACTAATACCACCTTGAAGGGTTCTAATTACCTTTAATGGTCTTGTGATGTCGTTGTTTTTTTTAAAGGCACGTGGGAAAGCCTCTTATCTTACTGCCATGAAACCCTCTGATCTAACCAAAGTTGGTTTATGGGAGTAAGAAGATGCACAAATCCTGACATGGTTGTGGAATAGTTTGGCGCCAGAAGTTTTCACTAATGTTTATTGTTTAGAATCCTCTAAAGATATTCGGGATGCTCTTAAGGAGTTATATTCCTCTGAGCAGAATCTTTCTCGAGTCTACCAACTCTATCAGGACATTTTTTTCTCTTCAGCAAGGTGATTGTTTAGTTGAAAAATACTTCTTTGTCCTTAAGGCTATGTGAGACGAACTCAATATCTATCAGTCATTTACCACTGATTTGAAGACTCAGCAGTAGCACTTCCAAGTTGCTAAATTTCTCTCCAAGCTTAATCCGGAACATGCTGCTACTAGTTCTTAGATTCTTTCTTGGAAAGACATCCCTATTGTCAATGTGACATTTGCTCGGGTTTGACGTGCCTCTATTCATCCTCTTGGCTCTATGAAGGATGATCATTCTGCTCTGGCTAGCCCTATTGAACACTTTGATACTCTTATTGGCCCTTACCGTGGTTATGATGCTAGCCGTAGTGGTCATAGTACTAACAGTGGTTGTGGTGGTCATTACAGTGGCCATGGCGGGCATGGCACCAAGATTTGTACTCATTGTGGTCGAAATAACCATATCGTTGAGTTCTGCTAGAAACTTTATGTTAAGCCTACTTGGGTTAATCAAGCTTCTATCTATGATGTACACCTTACTGCCACTCCTGATGACCAAGTTGTTATGACTAAATCCAAGTACGATTCTTTGCTTCAGAGTGTCCATGCCTCCTCGTCCGTTGCCAATCTAATTGCCTCAAGTAACACATGTCTTCTCTCATCATTTACTGTTCCTTAGGTCATCGATTCAGGGGCCGCTAATCATATGACAGGTAATTTCTCACTTCTTTCCAATTTCTCTCATGTTACCTCTCCCTCCTTTGTTACTATTTCTAATGGTACTAAAATGCCAGTTACTGGAATTGGTGTTGTTTAGACTCCTACTCTTACTTTTTTTATCTATGTTATATCTGCCTCACTTTCCTTTCAATTTATTATTTGTGCGTAAGGTTACCCATTCTCTCCAGTGCTCAGTAATCTTTTACCCCACTCATTGTATTTTTCAGGATCTAAAGATGAAGAGGATGATTGGTGAGGGATTTGAGAAGGATGGAATCTTCTATTTTTAGCCATCTTCAAACTCGATTCCTGCAGCTCTCCAATCTACTGCTTGGACTCCCATCTTCTCACAATTTACCTAAGTTTAATTGTGATACTTGCGAACTTAGTAAACATCGTCGTGCTTCGTTTAAGCTTCGAACAGATGCACCTTGTCCACCTCTTTTTCAACTTGTTCACTTGGATGTTTGGGGACCTTCTAGAGCTACTGGCTTATTTGGTGCACATTATTTTGTCACTTTTATTGATGATCATTTTCGTTTGACATGGTTATATCTTCTTAAAGAACGAACTCAATTATTCACTATTTTTTTTTTTAATTCTTCTATGTTGAAATAACCAATCAATTTAATGCTAAACTTCTTGGCCTATGGACTGATAATGCTCTCGAATATCGTCTCGGCACCTTTCAACAATTCCTTCATTCGAGAGGTATCATCCATCAAACATCTTGTGTTGATACTTTTCAACAAAATAGAATCGTTGAAAGAAAGAATGGGCATGTTCTTGCTATTGCTCACGCTCTCATGATTTAAATAAATGTACCTAAACACGTTTGGGGTGGTTTGTTTTGATTGCAACATATCTTTTAAATA